TGTGACGCTCGCTCACCGCAGGTGGACAGGCAGTGTCAGAACTGAATTGTAGGACACCCAGCTGGCGTCTGAGAGTTGGAGAAATGGGGTTGGAAAAGACAGTCCAAAAATTCAGAGGTGTATAAAGAAAACGAAGTAACAGCGCCTTCCCCTGTGTTTCTTACTCTGCTCTCTGGTGTAGTCCATGTCAATGGTCGGTATGCAATCATTTGAAATTGTTCTGGGCTTAAATGAACATACAAAATATAGATACATACCTATCAGTGTTTCTCCCTGTTTTAAATAAACAAGAAAATCTTCCGTTGCTCATGGAGAACAGGTTAGCTTGCTCTCTGTCTGTCTCTCCTTTCTCCCCATGAAATCTTTCTAAACCATGCTCTGGAGCCTCAACGTTTATAATCAAAATGGACCATCAGGGTATTTTGTGAAACAGAAGATCATGAAGAAATAATGCCACCTCTTTATGAGGAGAAGTGGGTGTTTTCAGTTGTGGTTTTAAATAAGATTTTTTTTTCTCACTCTACCATACACTTACCATCTGTGACATACCATTTAACACTTGCTTATTATACGTCCTATTTCATTTCTCCTGGTTTTGAATCTCTAACTAGATTCCAAGTCTGTGTAAGTCATACTTTCTTTGACTCCTAATCGGACTCTAGCTTACAAGTCAGAGCTCCATCATTAAAGTGCTTTTTGTTCTTTTGGTTCTATAATTGATAGGGGCTGCCTGAATTTGGAAACTCTCTTATTTGGAAGTGACTTTTTAATGATGTACCATTTCCTAAGTGGATCATGTTGGAAGCCCTTCCCCTCAAGAGTGATGATTATTGCAGGCATCCCTGAAGAATTAAGAAAAGACACTACTATCATGAATGCCCATGATCTTATGTAGGAGAAAAGAAAAATGAAGCAGGACGGGGAAATGGTACGTACGGGTGGCCACCTTGGCAGTGATGGGAAGGCTGAGGATGTTGCTAATGACAGCGTAGACGCTGATGTTGTAGGTGAGACCTGGCTCCAGCTCCGAGATGGTGACACCACTCCAATCTCCAGGCACCCGCTGCTGGAGCTGGAGGCCCCCCAGGGCCGTCGGCTGGTAAGAGATCACATATTCCGTCACTGCCATCGGCCCGTCCCATTCCAGCTCAATGGACCTGTCGCTGATACCAGCCACTCGCAAGTCCTCTGGAGGGGCAACTACCAGGAGGCAATACACAGATAGCATGAGCTCAGAGGATTGCCTTCCCCATCCTGGACTCAACTTTCTTCCTCACATCTCACCCCACATGCCCTGTCTGTATGTTCTGCTCAGCTCATCGGCTTTGAGCGATTGGTAATTCCCTTAGCGGGCAGGTTCTTGTCTTTTCCGTGCTTAGCACTCCCATCTCTCCAGGGTCATGAGTTAGTGGTGTGCTGGAGCCGGCTCCTACTGGCTCGTGAAAGTTGATTGGCAAATTTTGCAAGACAGTTTTAAATAGTCATGACTAAAGATGAAAATTTATAAGCTTACAATTCAGTAAATTATATTAAAAACAAAAGTAATGAATAGTCCAAACTTATCACTGGCAAATTACCTCACTACATTTTACTATTATCTATACCCTTAATTCAGTTTATGTGTGCTGTATCTCTCTGGTGGAAATACTGCGTAATTGTGTTCTATGACACAGCTTTTAGTGACGTCATGTAGGTTGTTTGAAATTGGCCGTGGAGGGAGTATTTACGCCATGAAAGTCAGCAAATGCTACAAAGCAGGGCTTTTTATTTTTTCCCTCAGAGAGCTAGTTAGATATTTAACAGCATACCATTGGCTTATATTTTTAGTAGCCAGTTGTCATCAGGGTTATCTGGTGACAATAATTTACTAAATTTTTAATATAAATAAAATAAAAATTTTAAATTTTAAAACAAATATTTTATTTCAGTTTAAATAATTTTAAGTAAATATTAAATTTATTCTTGGGGGCTTTGCTTCTCTCTCTTGTCCTACTTCTCAAATGCTATTCAAAGAACCCCCAAAGATTAAACCTCACTGAAATAGCCTTTCATGTATGGTTCCCTTGGGAAGTGAAGATTCACCAGTAGTGGGGGGTATTAAATAATTGAACCTTTAAGACCAATTAGGAAGCTAACTCCAGTGTGCCCGTAATTGGAACTGTCCATAGATTAAATCAGAGATCAGGCCAACATTTAAATGGTCATAATTAACTCATAAGTTTATATGTAGTGGAGGCTTCGATTAGTTCAAGAGTTGTCATTGGTGTTGAATATCTCCCCTGAGAATTCTCATTCTTTCACCTTTACAAGAGCGTAGGACTGAGCCAGCTGCTCTTCACGGGGCCATGTGTGTGGAAGGTGCATGCCTGCTGTCTTGTGCTCACAGGAGAGCCCTCAGATCCTTAGCAGAGGCAGAAATGAGGACTCAAGATGGAAATTGGGAACATGTATTTGCAGTGTTGGGCATTTGCTTTGATTGCTTTTGCCCCAAACTATTCATGATATAACACAGTCTAGATAGCAGAGCTTCCTGCGACTGAAGATGGCAAATGTTAACCGAAACAGAAAATTAAAAATTTATTTTTTAAGTTTATAAAACTAAACAAATATAAATGCAATTGAAATCAACTTTCGGATGAGAATTTATGAACTTAGATCATATCCAAGTCTGACATGATTAAAGCTTTGAATTGCACTCAGATCTTTGGCATAGCCTGTATAATGCATACAGAATGACCCTTGGACCAAAGAAAGAAGAGTTAGTATCTTGCATGTTTCTATCGAGCATTTATTATGTACTGAGCACAACACTAAACATGCTTACATGGATATTCTCATTTCATTCTCTCACCAACAGTATGGGATAGGTACTATTTTAACCCCTGTTTACAGGAAGGAAAACTGGATCACACAGCCAGCAAACGCAGAAGCTGGGGTTTGAACCCAGGCACAATGACTCTAGAGTCTTTTAGCCAGTACACGAGACGACTTCGCATAGCATTTCAGTCTATAAAACTTGTTTAGATACACCGTCTAACTAGCATTTAAAAAAATCCTTTAATAGGAGCCCTATGAAGTAGATTGGGCAGCTATAATTATCCCAACCTGACAAATGAAAAACTGAGGCCCAGGGTAAGGAACTTGCCATGAGTCAGGGAGTTCGGTCATAGCAGAACTGATTCTCAAACCCAGATCTTCTACACTTAGTATGTTCGTCCCCCTACAGCTTGTAGGACAGGTTATGGATTGTGCCAGATGCCTTCTCTCATTTATACAGAGCCCTCAAAGAAAAGCGGCACCAGCGAATAATTCAGACTATGTTTTAGGATGGGAATTCCAGACTGGTGCTTATCCTAGAGGTAAGAAGCTCCTTTTGAAAGAGATTCTCTAGTGCCTGCCTTTTGTGATTCAGTGCACTGATTCCAAATTTCCTGTGGGACTCCTTCTGTCGTGGTGTCAGAAACGGCCATTCCAAATTTCAAGTCACCAACAACTCTCAGGGCCTTTGGGCCAAGTCAGTGTGTTCCTTTTTAGTTCCTTCCTCTGGAAAATAAAACTAATAATGACAATGGAGATCCAAATGATCCAAGCAGAGCATTTGGGGATTTTAAAGTGAAAAAGAGGTGCAGAAGGGTTTTTTTTCATCTGGACAACTTGGCAGTTTTTTTTTGTCTTGAGACCTGAGCCTGGTGATGGCAAACGCTGCCTTCGCTTCTGATGAGAAAGGAGCGATGGTGTCGCTCGTGGAGGAAGCACTCCTGAGAGCTGTGGCTCGGTGGAGGAGGCCAGCCCCCCTGGCTGTATGACTGAGCAGCAGCTGTGTACATCGGGTGCCAGTAATTCTTACAAAATGAAATGATATCAAGCCATAAAGTGGACTCTGCAAGAGCCGTATGCCTCGATGCAAGGAATTTAGGATGGGTGCAAAATATTCTTAGTCTTACTTTCTTTGGGGTTCCAACGTAGAAGCTTGGGGAAGAGCAGGCAGTTAAAAAGGAATAAACTGTGGCTTGAGGAATTGCAGTTTGCTTATCTGCAGAGACGCCATGCTGTTTACTTTGGGCTCTTGCATCAGTTTTGCACATATGTGGTGAGAACGGTTGAATTAGTTCCAGGAAGTGTCTCGCGCGGAGGAGCCAGTGATTTCAGGTGCCAAAGGTCGGGCTGGCTGCGGCGCTGGCAGAGACACAGGCTGGAGCTGATGGATCTCTGCAGGTCTGACTGAAGTCCAGGGAATGGCTCTCTGGAGTCTTTCGAGGCCCGGCTCTGGTGGTTCTTTTATCCTGCTGATTCATGGGGAGTTGTGGCCAGCCTACTGGCCAGCTCCGGCACTAACCTCCTTCACTGGGGGCCGATGTGGACAAATGGTTTAACGTGCTTCCCTAACCCTGTCTCCAACACCTCATTTTTTATCATTTGACAGAGCTCAGCTTTCATATTAAGAGACTATTCCTTTGTGTATGTGGCTTCCAAAAATTTTATTTTCCGATTCCACTCTACTTAGCGTCCCGGGGAGGATTAAAGAGCGCTAGAAGTTGGTAGGAGACCAGGGTGCTCATTCTTGCTCTGCCATTAATTAGCCGTCTGGCTCTGGAAAAAATCTTTCCATCTCCCTGGGCTGCCGCTTTTTCAATTTGTAAAATGAGAAGCCCAGAGTCGCTTCTTTCTAAGGCCTGTTTTAAGTGCCCATATTCATGAATTTTTTTGTTCTGTTGTCTTAGAGTGGCCAGAGAACAGAGGCGGAAGGGTTGAGATCTGGCCCCGGGGACCACCATGAGAAAGATCAAGGCTCAGAGTCAAGCAGAGCAGCCTTGTGCCATTCAATTGCATTCAAACCCTGGTGGCTTGAGGGGTTTGGGAAGGAAGACCACACGGTGGGCAGCCCTCACCCACGCCCTTGCTGAAGAGAAAAGAATGACCTCCGAGGAAGTGTGCTCTGTGGCTCTCCATGTTTTCACCTTCCTCATTCTCTCCCCTCACTCCTGTTGGCACGGGGAATGGTAACGCTGGAGTGTGTGCACCTGGCCAGAAATGTCAAACAGTGGATAAACAGCCCCTCTCCTAGAGCCATTTCACAAAGAGCCAGCAAAGCAGCACTTTAGATAATGATCTAGATATTTCCCTGGAAAAGACCCACGGCATTTGGTTTAAAAGACAAGCACTAAGAGCAGCACCTCCTGCAATACTCATTGTGGCTCCATGGTTGCTATAGAAACAGATGGCGATTATGCAACTGTCCCTCCTCACATGCTTTGGGAACCTGTGCTTCATCGGGGCATCCAGGAGTCTTCCTCAGACGGCACAGAGGTAACTTGTTGGAGGTAACATGTGCTCGTGGTTTGGACTCAACCCAGTGGTAGTTACGCTGGCAGCTGTTGGGTCTTCCCTGAGTGACCAGGAGGGTTTAGCTCCAGTTCAGTTTGGACCCTGGATCAGATTAAGATTCTGTTTGCAAATGAGCCCATCGCTATGGAAGAGCAGGGTCAAGAACATGGCAGGTACATACCACCCACCAGGGGTCAATTTTATTAAGAAGCACATGAACTGTAGAGTAGCCATACATAGCGAGGGCCCCAGCTGACCCTTAGCATCCTCCAAGGGTGCCTCGTGCAGCCTCATCCCATGGGTGGGAACTAGGATCCTGCTTCAGCCTCCCCTTCCCAGCAATTCCCTAGTGACTTTGGATTCGAAAATGACAAAGCTCAACTTCTGCCAGAAATTTCCCTCGGAACAATTGGTATAACTATTTATAATTTTAGGAATTATTTTATAATTTTAAGAACAAAATTAGAAGGCTAAATGAAATAATTGAATACAGAAAAAATGGAGGAACACGGAAATATTTGTTTTTGCTAAGCAGTGAGTTAAAAGTTGTTTTTCTTTCAGTTATTGCCATGGACCTTGTAAAAGAACTTGGAGTCACAGGTGCAGGAGTCTCGTCTGTTGGTCTGCTATCTAGATGGGAGTCACTGATGATGCTTAAGAGTAAAAGGCTGGTGAAGCTGGTCTCCCAGGATGTCCCGCTTAAACTGATGTCAGAAGGCTGATGAGAACATTCCTAGAATCAATCATCCACTTTAAAAATGTTTGTTTGTTGTTGTTGTTTACTTTAAATCTTCCCCCTGGGCACTCTGAGCCCACTTGTTACAAGATTGAACTATAAACGGAAGTGTCAGGATCAATGACTCCTGTGTACTGTGTGAAACACAAATGTATCAGCAAGAGTCACTGATTCAGCCAGAAGAGGACGAGCAATAATAGTGAGATGATGGACATAATCTGATTTTAGGGAAAAGAAAGCGATCTCCAATGAGATATTGATATTTTCCCACTGATGGATTTAGGTCTTCATTTCGGGACAACACCTTTGTGTTGGTTTCCATGGTGTAGACACGGATGGGATTGGTTTCGATTTGCTCTATGCCATCTGGAGCAAGTGAGTCATAGCCTTTTAATGTTCTGTGCTTTTAATGTTTGTACTAATGTTAGAATGTGAGCTGTTGCTCCACGCCTTTGGTACTTTGTTCCTGTTTGCATGTAATTCCTTGCCCGTAAATGTTTTTATCCATGTGGCCACTAGATCATTTCATAAATTAATAACACTCTGTGATGTGTAAGCTCCAGAATAATCGGAGTGCCTGGTTAGTCTGGTTATCCCAGACTAACGGCCTTCTCACGCACTGCATCGTAAAAGGACGCGTCCCTGGAACATGACAACAGGCAAGGGGGTACTTTGGAGCAGGCGGACCTCTTGGAAGCCCGCTGAGTTAGTTGCCTTGCCTAGGGGGTCCCATGGCCTGGCTCTCCGCTTTCCTCCATCCCAAGGACAGTGAGATGCTGTCACCATTATAATCATTGCCTTTGTTCCAGTCTTGGGGTCAGATCCCACTTTCAGCCTGAACTTGACCTTTTCTGGTTTCCACCCTTCCTGTCTTAGACCTGCCTCGTCAATTGTGATTGACTCAAGAAACCAGCTCTCTTGGAAAGCAAATGTGCATGACCGAACTGGGAATTCTTTTGCCTGAAATTCCCCTCCCCTCCCATCTCTCTTCCCACCTCCAGTTAGTTTGCTGGACCACCCCGGCCACAGGCCCCGCGGAGCTCCCCTTCCTACCTGCCGAGCAGTCAGGGCCCTGGTAGCCCTCTTCACAGAAGCACAGGCCCTCCTGGCAGTGTCCTCGCCCGCTGCAGGCGTTCAGACACCGCCGCTGGCTGCAGTCCTCACCGGCGTAGCCCTCCTGGCATAAGCAGGTGCCGTTGGCACATATCCCCTTCCCCGAGCAGTCCCCAGGGCACCTCAGCTCGCTGCAGTCCTCGCCCGCGTAGGCCTCCTCGCAGACGCACTCCCCGTCCACACACAGCCCCCGGGAGCTGCAGTCTGTGGGGCACCGGGGCTCCGAGCAGTCGTCCCCGCTGTACTCGCTGTCGCAGATGCACTGGCCGTCCACGCACACGCCCCGGCCGGAGCAGCCCAGCGGGCAGAAGGGCTCCGAGCAGTTCTTGCCAAACCAGCCTTCGTGGCAGATGCAGCCACAGGACTCGAGGCTAAAGTTGCCGTGGCCACTGCAGTGAGGGATATAGTCCAGTTGTCCTGAAACGGCCAAGGAGAAGGTCAGAGAGGGGCAGTGGAACTTCCGGTAAATGGTGTATGGGGGTGGCGGCCAGAGACCTCTGCTCACTCTCTGATCAGATCTGTGTTGCTGAGAACTAGTTTGGTACATCATCGACTTCATAAATGTTTTTCTCTAGTCTGGGTTGTCCGTGCCTGGCCCGTGCTGGGGGCAGGGATGAGGGAGCTGGGGTCCCTTGTCCTTCAGGAGCTCGCCTTCCATGTGTCTTACCTTGGGTCCCCTAGAAGCAGACCTGAGATTTGGATGCAGGTAAGATGACTTACTGGGAAGTGCTCCCAAGAAAAACTGGTCAAGGAGAAGGGAAGACTGGGGAGGAAGGAGCCCAAGCCAAGCACATCATCAGGCAGAGTTCCAGGGAGGGTCGCTTGGGTTCAGTCCTGCAGGCTGTTCTGGCCACAGTGCAGGCCATACCTCACCGGGAATGAAGGGCTGTCCCTGGGGGGTGTAAATGCTCGGACTCTTCTGCTGTCCCCTGGGGCAGGCCAAGGGGCTTCTCACAGCCCAAGGACAGCCCCTGACCAAGATGCCCAGGTGCTGGCTGTGGGGACTGAAGCCGATCCGAGGGGAGAGAGGCTCAGCCTGGATCCTGTTATGCAGGGCAAGTTCACGTGTGCTGCAGACCCTTCCCACTCCCTCTCCGTCCCACACTCTGACTCTGCTCATTCACCACAGCTCAGCGCCAGGGTCACTTCGAAGGCTTCCCGGAACTTCAGTATCATTTAGTGACTATTTGCTGTGATCTTTTTAGGATTCTATGCATATCTCCTGTCCTAGCCCTTACCACGCTATAACCACGGTGGTTAATTTATCTGTCTGGCATGAATCAAACGATCTTATTAAACAAACAGAAAACCAGTACCTGCTTGGCATCCTTCTCTGCACTTGGCCCTGGGAATATGAAGTCAAATAACTTCTGTCCTTGTTTAATTCTGCCACTCCGCCAGTGCCCACAGCCTGAAGAAGGGATGCTACACTGCCGTGGGTTAGCGTAGCTCTTCCTTGTAGATTTTTTCACGTCTGCCAGGGAGCCTGGGGGGAAGCTGGCAAAAAGCCCACTTACAGAAGCCACCAGCATCCTGGGCAGCAGAGAGCCCACGTCTGCGGACACCTGTGACTTCCCCATAGTCTCACCAGCTCCACTGAAAACGTGAACTGCCCTGACAGTCCTCACTGAGGAGGGAGACATTGAACAAGTGGACTTTCTCTTCTCAGCCTCAGATAGCTTATTTGTAGTTTTGGTTACAAGGGGGAGGAGGACGTGAGAAAACCTAAGAAATACTTCACCACTCAAAGACTGCTGCCCGTCTTAGTGTCTCAGGGTGAATGTGTCCATAGCCCCCTGGACACTTGGGCCATCCAGGCCCTGTTAAAATGTCACTCCTGCCACCTCCTTTATCCTTCTACAAGCCTTGAGCTATTGGACCCTATGCAGGTATAAGTTTAAACCCAAGATAGTGAGACACCTTCCTCTTCTCATTAAAGAAATGAATTGCATGGGTGAGAGAAGCTGGGCACAAAAGGGGACAGACACACTTTCTGCTCATTGAGGGTCAGCTGATAACAGCTATGGTGCGTAGGTGCTTCCTAGAAGCCAGGCTGTCATCTGAATGGAGGCTCTTCTGTTTAATAACTCCTTGTCATTCTAGTCAGTCACCATTTGTCAGTGGGGAAAGGAAGGCATGGGTTATGTAACTTGCTTAAGGCATGATCTAGTAAATAGCAGAGGCAGGATTTGAAGTCAGAAAGTCTGGCTCTGAAGATGAAAGGACTTCTTCCAGAGACGTCAAAATAGTTGTTCATGAGTGTTAATAGTCAGGGGGCGGGCTAGGCTAAGGGTACGTCTCCTGGATTCTCAGCTTTTTTGTCAAGGGGTGGGGGTTGTAATAAGCTCAGTGAGCGGGCATGTGCGTGCGTGTACGCACACCCACGTGTGTTCATGGAGGGGGCGGGGGCTGAAACCGGCATCCTGCGGAGAAGATGGGCAAAGGCCCTCTGAGACCTTAATGACTTTCATTTACTCAGACGGGAGACAGGCTGGGACTGAGTGAACAGAGAGCCTGCTTTCTCTAGTCCCTCAGGTTAACATGGATAGATATCAATTCAACAGCCTGTGAAAACCAAAGATGAATGAAGACAGACATCAAATTCCCTGCTCGCCACAGAAGTTGCTCTGCTGAACCGATGTACCATTACCTGACTCACCCCCCCCAAAATCAGGTTAATGTATTGCAAACTGCCTGAGTGCTGGAGAGAAGCCCGGCGCCGAATCCCCCGGGAAGGACCACGTTTAGCTCTTAGAGGTGTGTTAACAGAGAGCTGCAGACTAGAGCACGCTTTTCCCCTCTGTGTGAAGAGGTTCCTGGGGAGTGGTTGCGCACGCTCATGCACTCTCCCTCTCCCCGCGGTGGCACCCGCCCTCCCCCCTGAGGTGCAAGCTCCCAGCCTCTACCTGTAGCAGCGCTTTGTTGGCAGCAGCTGCTGCTGCACTGGTCCCGCAGCACTGACACCTCCCTCTCCAGCATCTCGATTCGGCTCAGCAGCTCCTGCAGCACCTGGGCTGAGCTGGCACACGGGCAGGCCTTTTTAGGGAGGTTGATCCTGTGGGTGAAGGTGACGTGGCTCTCGTGGTCCGAGGTCTGCCCCGTGTACTCCGCCAGCACATCATCTTCGGCACTCACCTCCTGCTCGGCCGAGGCCTCCAGCCCCGAGGAGCAGAGGCTGTCCAGGGGCACGTTGATGTTGTACACGTGGTTGAAGACCACCGGCTGCTCTTTGCCGGATGTGTTATAGCTGGCAGTGCCGCCTTCCTCCTCCACGGCCTGTCTCTGGACCCTTTCCGTGGTGACTTCGAGCTGACACTCCGAGGGCTTGAGCATGGAGCCCAGAAGGATCAGGTTGACACCAATGAGCATGTTCTTTAAGACCACGGTTTCCCCATCTGCCCCCATCCTCTCAGCAGATCTCCAGGTTCAGGACCAGCCTGCAGTAGAAAGCATGGAGTTGTGAGGATCTGTAATAGAAACCAAGGAGCGAGATGCCCTCTGAGAGCTGTGCCTGGGCACCATGCTGTGCACATTCCCACAAAGCTAAAGGATGGGCAGTTACAGATTGCAAGGGGAAGGTTAGGGAAGGGAGAGTCATCCAAGCCTAGAGCTTTGTCTCCTAGCGGAGCAGATCCCTGAAAATAGGTACTGCTCTGCAGAAGGGCATTTTGATTTCCCAAAAGGCTTGCTTAGAATGCATGAGTCTGGCCTCCCTGCTGGGCAAGTGGTTCCAGTAAAGAGGACATGCGAGGACTGGGGGTAGGAGCTCTGTGGATAGGCTATTCCTCCAGGGAGATCTCAGAGCATCCTTCACTTGCAGGTGAGAATTAGGATGAAGGGCACCACGGAGCCTTAGGCGTATCCTCACATTTCCCCAGATATTTATTATGAAGGAGCCCCGCCAGCTACTTCAAAATAACTTATTAACGCCTCTAAGCTCATCTGTTCAACACAAGTTGACTTTAGAATAACCAACCAGGCAGATAATACAGTTAGAGGTAATTGTTGTTGTCAATAATCCTTGGGTACATTTGTGATTATCTGGGACTATGTGAGCTGAACTTTCTTTTAATCTTCTCATTAGTATTGTCCCAGTGCTTTGTGACCATGGGGTGCCTTTCTTCTGAGGTCCTGTTTAAATTGCTAAAATAGTGAATTAGCTCCTCTGCTGGTTACCTAGTCACCAAGAACCATGAAGAATGACAAATTTACTGTAATGCAAATCAGTTTTTACAGAAATTATATTTCTTTTGTATTCCCTCTGTGAAAGAGAAAAGAGGCTTACAAACTTTGGTTCTAATGGTAATGTTAGAGCTACTAAGAAGATTAAAGACGAGGGAATGGAGTGAGAGTGAATATGAGTTGGAGAAGAAGGTGGTAGATGACAACATTAACCGAATGTGCATTGTGTACAGACTGCACCGTGCACCTCACATTTGATCTTACTGGACCCTCAGAACAACCTTATGATGGGATGTCATGATGATCTCCATCTTACAGTGGAGTGAATTCTGCCTAGAAAGCTTAAGATTTGAATGCGGGTCTGACTCTAAAACCTGTGTCCTTAACTACTATGCTCCGGGGCTTTTCTTGAAAAGTATGTTCAATTTTCTGTTGTCTGTTTTGGAAATTGTATTAGTTCTAGGATCTTCCCAGGAATATTGAGATTAGAAAGTTTTGCTAGGGCCAGATCCAGTGTTCCTTCTGCCATGAAGCCTTCTGCTCTCACCTTTTCCCTCCTGTTTCAGGCTAAGTTCATTCCCCTACTCCTCTATTACCCCCTTCTGACAGCATTTGCCCCACTAGACCATAGGTTTCCTTTGTCCGCTTCTGCCCCCCAACCCCCTCACCTCCCACACCTACCCCAGACTGCTAAGTCAGTTTAGGTCAGACCACATCTTATCCACAGCGTTTGATGTGTGTCTAGGACAGCAAAATTGCTCAGCACCGTGGTTGTTGAATGAGTAGGTGGGTAGATATACAGAAGGATGAATAAACAGATGAATTAATGAGTAAATGTGCAGTGAGCAAAGTTTGAATCATTCTCCAACTCATTTAATCTCTTTCCATTATCCTCAAGTTATTTGCTGTTCTCTTCAGTTTCAGTTCAACTGAACAATATCTGAGGGTTGATTTTATTAGGAGTAATCTGTATTACTGACTAGTATAAAAATCATGTCTTATTACTCAGTTTTTTTATGTTGGACTAAAATCTATCCCTGTTTCCAATATGAAGAGGAAGCAGAACAGAGTAGAGATGGTAAGATCCTGGAATCTGGAGCCAGACTGCCTGGTTCTTCCCCTATCCAAGGACTACCCAGAAGTCACTGGAACATGTGAGAAATCTCATCCATTGGTGGATAGGAGTGACATTTTGAACACCCTTGTTCAAAGAAGGGTGAGGTTCTTGGAGTGACACGGGAGGTGGCGATCCACTGGTCACATCCAGATAAGGTAAATCAACCTTGAGGATAGAGGGAGTGACAGGTTTGAACCCAACTGCCCTCATGACTGTAAGCCTTTTCCAAGCCCCTCTATCTGAGGCATTACTTGCCTTCCCGTTTTCAGGTGCTCTAGGCATTGTGTCCTTGGAGTGGCATTTTTGTATCATTGAAAACTTCCTAGGAATGGCTCCGATATCAGTTATTTATACTTCAATTTACATTTAAGGCCAAGGAGCCTTAACTGTCTCACTTTCCAACTAAAGTTGGTATGTCTGATCCATGTTAATATCGCTGAATAGATTTTTTTTTCCCCCTGGGGATTGTAAAATTATCATGTAACACCCATAACGTTTAACATAGCTTTTGTCACAGAGCAGGCAGTCAATAAATAAGTGAAAGAATACACGGCATTATAAATGAAAAGGAAGACAAGTGATAGGAAAATTAAAAGGAAAAGAAATTAGGTTCTACACTTAAATCCAAAGCAAGAATTGCAAAATTACATATGGAGGTAAAAGTATAGCATTAAGTGTGAAAAACACAAGATTTTAGTCAATAACCAAACTTCCTATGATTAGTCAACAGTGTGATAGTTGTAACTCCAATATCTTATTTAGACTCAGACTTTATTAATTAAAATACAGACTAGGATGAGCAGGGGGTGTTTGCTCTGTACTGCACCCATCATTGATTACTTCCGGGTGCCTAGGATGCTGAAGCTGCTCAAAATCTTGTCATAGTTGAGGGAATTTAGCGTTTTGGTCCAGAGATGTGAAGACTCCAGAGGTGTTGTTCCTTTATCATTCATTCCTTTGACAAACATTTATTGAGTATCTAATATATGCTGGTTCCTTTATTCATGGAACTTATATTTAAGTGTGTGGAGGTGGGTGGGAGGGGGAGGGCAGACAATAGATAAATACCCACGGTATATGATCACTGTTCTCAAGTGCATCCACATACCAAGTATCTATCTCTCTATCTATTTATATTGAAGTATAATTGATTTACATTGTTGTGTTAGTTTCTGGTGTACAGCATAGTGATTCTGTTATTTCTATGTATATACATATATTCTTTTTCATATTCTTTCTCATTACAGGTTATTACAAGACATTGGATATAGTTTCCTGTGCTATTCAGGAGGACTTTGCTGTTTATCTATTTTATATAGAATAGTTTGTGTCTGCTAATCCCAAACTCCCAATTTCTCCCTCCCTGCTGGTAACCATAAGTTTGTCTTCTATGTCTGTGAATCTGTTTCTATTTAGTAAATAAGTTCATTAATGTCACATTTTAGATTCCACATATAAGCGACATCATATAATATTTGTCTTTCTCTCTCTGACTTATTTCATCTAATACGATAATCTCTAGGTCCATCCATTTTGCTGCAAATGGCATTATTTCATTCTTTTTTATGGCTGAGTATTATTTCATTGTGTGCATATATATATATATATATATATATATATATATATATACTACACACACACACACACACCACCACACCACACACACACACACACACACCCCACAACCTCTTTATCCAGTCATCTGTCAATAGACATTTAAGTTGCTTCCATGTCTTGGCTATTGTAAATAGTGCTGCTATGAACATTAGGCTGCATGTATCTTTTCGAATTAGCGTTTTTTCCAGACAAATGCCCAGAAGGGGGAATTGCTGGATCATATGCACATACCAAATATTTATGATGACTTAGTCCCTGTCCTTGAGAAACTCCCAGTCTCATGAAAGAGATGGAAACACGAGTAAATATAATGACAATGCAATGTGATCATTACCATGACCAAAAACACAAAATGCCCTGGGACGGCTGCAGGTGATATAAGCAGCTTTGCCTGGGGCAGCAGGGAAAGTTATACGGAAGCAGTGGGGTAGTTGTCTGCGCTGTTTGCCAAGTATTTCTGGCCTGGCTTTCCAAACACATGGTAGGACTGCAGTTTCCAGGACTGTATTTTCCGGCACCCCCGTTGGTTAGGTGAGGCCGTATCACTAGTACTGGCCAATGAGTAGTGAGAGAAAGTGATGGGAGTCATTTCTGGGCGGCGTGTTAATTGCTGACGGGAGACCCTGCAGAGCTTTCTCCCTCCCATGGTGACCGGCAATGTTCAAGATGGTGGCTGCTTTCTCAGTCTGGGTCCCTGAATGACTACAACAAAAAGTGCCCTGGCTGTGTACAGTGGGTGCGTAGTGCATGAGAGAGAAATAAACCTTCGGTTTTTGAAGCACAGATTTTGGTACTGCTTTTTCGCACAGTCTATCAGAAGATACTACCGAATTGGATTTTAACAGATGACTCTTTAGGTAGAGAAAACAGAAGTTCATTATAGATGGAAGAAATTGCATTTGCTCAAGCTCTGATATGTGCACAAATATGGCTTGTTCAATGAATGCAAGTATTTGAAGGGCCGTTACATACTATGGGACTGGACTTTCATACGGCAAAAAGCCCAAGGGAGGTAATTTCCACCAAATGGGAGAATCTACAGGGAAACAGATTTTAGCTCCATGTAAAGAACAGCTTTTCCAATGGTCAGAGCTTGGGTTGTCTTGCTAGATAGTGAGTTCCTGGTCACTGGAGGTCGAGTCACTGCAGGCACAAGCCAAAAGACTACTCAGTGAGAATGCTGAAGATGAGCTTTTAAGCATTGCATGAGCGATTAGACTAAAATGAACCTTAAGGTCTTCCCTTCCTGATGCTTTAGGAATTCATGTTCTTCCATGTCAATTGAGGAGTCCACCCACTATAATATTGTAGTAGTAGCCCGAGCCTGCCAGAAGAAATCACCAAACTGGGTAGCTTAAAACTATAGAATTTTATTCTCTCACAGTGCTGGAGGCTAGACGGTCAAAATCAGGAAGACACCAGGATTGGTTCCCTCCGAGGCGCTCAGGGAAAATCTGTTATGTGCCTCTCTCCTTGCTCCTGGCGCTGGCGGCCACCCTTGGTGCCCCACGGCTTGTAGGTTCATCCCTCCAATCTCTGCCTCCATCCTCACACTGCAC